TTGCAGCGCTTGCCACTCGTTGCGAGCCCGAACCGGATAGCGTCCCCACCCGCAGCTCATTTGCGGTGGTGTCGAGAAGCCACGTCTGCCACGCTTTGCAAGCCCGAATCGGATAGCGCCCCCACCCTCAGCTCACCACTTGTGGCATCGAGAGACTGCAACGCTTGCCACGCTCTGCGAGCCCGAAACGGATAGGGAGACCAGCCCCATTGCAGCTGTTTGTGGTGCGCATGTGTTGTGTTGTGTTCGTGTCATGTGTATGATGCATGTGCGGCTGTATATGGACGTGTTTTTCACGTGGGTGCCCAGTATGTGCCATGTGTATGATGTGTGTGCGGTTGTATCTGGACTTGTGTCTCCATGTGGGTGATGTATGATGCGTGTACGGTTGTAGGTGGACGTGCGTATCATGTGGATGCCGCGTGTTGCGTCGTGTTGCGTATGCTCATGATGCGTGTGCGCGGTTAGTGCGTGCGCGCACGTGTGCGTATGCCTTGTGTGCGTGTGTCTAATGCGCGCATGAGCGTGGAGGAGTGGAGGAGGAGGGGGGAGGAAGGCTGAGGGAGAAGGAGGAGGAGGGGTGAGGTGAGAAATACGGGTGAGACGCGGGTGGGAAGAAAACAATAAGTTCACGAAGCATGTGGGGAAAGAGAGGGAGAGGCAATTTTTCCAACGGTAGGAGCCCACATGATAATATGTTTAGATTGTTTGGGGATATCCTCCTGTCCCCTCCCTTCTCCCACCTACTCCTGCTTCCTCCGTCTCCTGCCTGCTCCTCCTCATGCCTCAACCACTGCCTCCTCCTCCTGCTCCTCCTCCTCCTTCTCCTCCTCCTCCTCCTCCTCCTCCTCCTCCTCCTCCTCCTCCTCCTCTTACCTCCTCCACCACCTCCTCCTCCTCCTTTTCCTCGTCCTCCTCTTCCCTCTCCCTCTTCCTCCTCCTCCTCCTTCACCTCCTCCCTCCTCCTCCTCCTCCTCCTCCTCGTCCCCTCTCCCTCCTCCTCCTCTCCCTCTCCCTCCTCAGCATCCTACTCGTCTCCATCTTCCTCCACTCCTCCCCCTCCTCCTCCTCCTCCTCCTCCTCCTCCTCCTCCTCCTCCTCCTCTTCCTCCTCCTCCTGCTTCCTCCTTTGGCCTCCTGCCTCCTCCTGGGGCCTCGTGGAGCCTCTTGGGGTCTCCTGGAGCCTTCTGGGTCTCCCGGGAGCATCTGGGACCTCCTAGGGCATTTCTCCTCCTCATCATCCTCTTCCTCCTCCTCCTCCTCCTCCTCCTCCTCCCCTCCTCCTCCTCCTCCTCCTCCTCCTCCTCCTCCTCCTCCTCCTCCTCCTCCTCCTCCTCCTCCTCCTCCTCCCCCTCCTCCTCCTCCTCCTCCTCCTCCTCCTCCTCCTCCTCATCGCTGCCTTATCCTCCTCGTCCTCCTTCTCGCTCCAACCTGATACTTCCTCCAGATTCATGCCTCAGGAGCCCAAACGTGAGGACAGTCGCAGGAGGCCGATGACCCGCTTCGGATTGTTCACATGAGCCGCGGGCCCCATAGGGAGGGGGCTCCCGCCTGCGACTTCCTCGCTCGCAATTCACTCACAGACGAGGCTCCCGCCCGAGACTTCTCCGTGAGCCATGCCTCAGGAGCCCAAAAGTGACGACAGTTTTAGGAGGCCGATGACCTGCTCGGATTACTCACATGAGCTGCGGGCCCCATAGGGAGGGGGCTCTTGCCTGAGACCTCCTCGAAATTCATTCACGGACGAGGCTCACGCCTGATATGTCCTCCATATTCAAGCCTCAGGGGCCCAAAAGTCACGACAGTTGCAGGAAGTCGATGACCCGCTCGGATTACTCACATGAGTTGCGGTCCCCATTGGGAGGGGCCCCCCGCCTGAGACTTCCTCGCAATCCACTCTCAGACGAGGCTCCCGCCTGATACCCCCCCTCAAAGTGAATGTGTGCGCGTGTGAGTGAGTGATGGTGATGGTGATGGTGGTGCTGATGATTGTGATGTGAGTGATGGTGATGATGGTGATGATGGTGATGATGAGGATGATGATGATGATGGTGACGATGCTGGTGACGATGATGACGATGTGAGTGGTGATGATGAGGGTGGTAGTGATGATGGTGTGAGTGATTGAATAAATAATGTTTGTACTGATGTAGTGAATGATGATGAAGAGGTTGATGGTGTTATGATGGTGATGGTGTGTGGCTCATTGAATGAGTGAGTGTGCCAAGGGAGAAGAGCTTATGAGGTCTGTATCGACTCATTGAGTGAGTGAGTGCAGACGATGATGATGAGAATGAGAATGATGATGATGATGATGATGATGATGATGATGATGATGATGATGATGATGATGATGGTGGTGCTGATGATGATGATGATGATGATGATGATGATGATGATGATGATGATGCTGACGATGTGTGTGAGTGAGTGGGTGTTCCTGTCACCCTGCGCGAGGTGTCCTTATAAAATTATTCCGACGGTAGGACCCCACATGATAACATGTTTCAATTGTCTGGGGATCTCTTCCTGCCCCCTCCCTTCTCTCACCTACTCCTGCCTCCTCCTCCTGCCTGCTCCTGCTCCTGACACAACCCCTGCCTCCTCCTCCTCCTCCTCCTCCTCCTCCTCCTCCTCCTCCTCCTCCTCTCCTCCTCCTCTTGCCTCCTCCTCCCTCCTCCTCTCCTCTCCTTTTCCTTCTCCTCTTTTCCCTCTCCCTCTTCTCCTCCTCCTCCTTCTCCTCCTCCTTCTCCTCCTCCTCCTCCTCCCTCCTCCTCCTCCTCCTCCCCCGTCCTCCTCCTCTCTCCTCCTCCTCCTCCTCCTCCTCCTCCCTCCTCCTCCTCCTCCTCCTCCTTGGCCTCCTCCTCCTCCCTGGGGCCTCTTAGGGCCTCCTGGAGCCTTCTGGGCCTCGGGACCTCCTCGGGCCTCCTGGGGCCTCTCCTCTTCCTCCTCCCCTCCTCCTCCTCCTCCTCCTCCTCCTCCTCCTCCTCCTCCTCCTTTTCCTCCTCTTCCTTTCCTCCTTGTCCCTCCTCTCCTCCTCCCCTCCTCCTCCTCCTCCTCCTCCTCCTCCTCCTCCTCCTCCTCCTCCTCCTCCTCCTCGTGCGGAACACGACCTAGGGGAAACACACGACGTGCGTCCCAGCGGCTACTCGACGGAGGACGACCCAGAGGAAGCGCGCGCCAGAGGACGACCTGGAGAAAACACGTGAGGTGCGGGCCACATCGGGAGGGGTTTCCCGATTGAGTTTTCGTCGACATTCATTCACAGACGAGGCTCCCGCTTTATTCAGGCCTCAGGAACCCAAACGTGACGACAGTTGCAAGAGGCCGATGACCCGCTTCGGATTACTCGCATGAGCTGCGGGCCCCATAGGGAGGGGGCTCCCGCCTGAGACTTCCTTGAAATTCATTCACAGACGAGGCTCCAACCGGATATTTCCTCCAGATTCATGCCTCAGGAACCCAAACGTGAGGACAGTTGCAGGAGGCCGATGATCCGCTTCGGATTATTCACATGAGCCGCGGGCCCCACAGGGAGGGGGCTCCGGCTTGAGACGTCCTCGCAATTCACTCACAGACAAAGCTCCCGCCTGATACTTCCTCCACGTTCAGGCCTCAGGGGCCCCAAAGTGGCGACGGTTGCAGGAAGTCGATGACCCGCTTCGGATTACTCACACGAGCTGCGGCCCATAGGGAGGGGGCTCCCACCTGAGACTTCCTTTAAATTCACTCACAGACAAGGCTCCCGCCTGATACCTCCTCCATTATTCAGGCCTCAGGCGCCCAATAGTGACGACAGTTGCAGGAAGCCGATGACCCGTTCTGATTATTTATGTGAGTTGCGGGCCCCATAGGGAGGGGGTTCCCGCTTGAGGCGTCCTCGAAATCCACTCACGGACGACGCTCCCGCCTGATACTTCTTTCGTGTTCAGGCTCCAGAGGCCCAAAAGTGACGACGGTTACAAGAGGCCGATGACCCGCTTGGATTAGTCAAGTGAGCTGCGGGCCCCGTAGGGAGGGGGTTCCCGCCTGAGACGTCCTCGCATTTCACTTACAGACGAGGCTCCCGTTTGTTACGCCCTCAAATTGAATGCGTGCGCGTGTGAGTGATGATGATGATGATGATGTGAGTGATGATGACGACGTGAGTGATGGTAGTCATGCTTGTGATGTGAGTGGTGATGATGATGATGATGATGATGATGATGATGATGATGATGATGATGATGATGATGATGATGATGATGATGATGATGATAACAAGATGATGATGATGACATGATGATGATGGTGACGAAGTGAGTGATGACGATAATGAGGGTGTTCCTGTGCTCCTGCGCGGGGTGTCCAGAGAAAAGAGAAACCCCATTTTGGATGTGGGGAACAATAACCCAATTTGGGATGTGGGGAAAAACAGAGACACGGACACACACACACACACACACATAGAGAGAGAGAGAGAGAGTGAAAAGGAGAGAGGGAGAGAAAGAGAGAGAGAAAGAGAGACAGCGGGCCACAGTTGACTTCCGCCGTCGACGTGCAAGCGAAAACCGATCAGCTTCGGGATGGCAGAGCGAGGCGCCGCCGACGGTCTTGCTATTTGCGTCATCCGTTGCTGCTTATCGCGTCGTCCATTGCCCTCTGCTGCCTGCGTCTCCCTGCCTCTCCTCTTGGTAATCCTCAGCATGCCCATCCTCACCTTCACTGCGCACGCTGGCGCAGTAATCGGCACTACCCCTGTCCGCAGATACGTGCGGTCCTTATCCTCATCATGACCACCATCTTAATGATAATCGTTTATTTCTGCCGGCTCTTACGTAGGAGTTGTATCTGCCTCATCCGACCTTATAAATAATAGACCCGAATCACCAGGCCCTGGGCCCCCCATTTTTTCAAAATCCCCCCCCGCACCAGACTTCAGTCCCTGGGGCCGATGGGCCCATTTCAGCGCCCCGTGCGATTATCCAGGACCCCGGTTGCCTCCAAGACGGCCCCAAAGGACGCAAAGGGGCCGCCCAGACGGACCAACGTGGCCAAAGAGGTTCTTATGGGCTCCGTAGCCATTTTGGCTCAAGCCATTTGGGGTCACGCAGTTTCACTAGTACTGGGGCACTCAAGAGGCGGGGCTCAGCGACCCCACCCTCACGATATTGTTTTGCAATGCCGCGCCGGGCCATGCACTGCGTTCGCGCTCTTTTCGGGCGCTCCCGCCACAGGGAGCCGCTTCAGGACATCACGGAACCGTTGACGAACTGCGTGCCGGAGCATACCTCGGAGGACCTCGAGACCGTGAAGGCAGCCGCCATGGCCGAGGCGAACACCGCGAAGGATGTATCGGGAGCCGCGGCGCCTTCGCCCGAGCAGTCAATGGCGGTGGCGGACGCCCCAGTGTCCGAGGCGGAGAAGGCGCCAGCGGCAGTGGACGTCTCGGCCCCTGCGCCCGAGCGGGCGCAGGCACCCGCGCTCGAGACGGCCCCGACGGCAACCGACGAGGCGCTTGCGGCTCCCGTGCCCTCCTCGGAGCCGCGGCAGCAAAAGCCCGTGGCGTCCGCGGCACCGCCCGCGGCGGCGCAGGCGCTGGCCGCGGTGAACGGCGCGGCGCCAGAGGCGGTCGATGAGCATGCGCCGGCAGGCGTGCTCGAGGAGGCCCCGACGGCGGCCGACGAGGCGGCGGAGGCCCCCGTGCCCTCCGCGGAGCCGCGGCAGCAAGGGCCCGTGGCGGCGACCGCGGCAGCGCCCGCGGCAGAGCAGGCGCCGGCGGCGGTGGACGGCTCGGCACCCTCGCCCGAAGAGCAGGCGGCCGACGAGGCGCCGTCAGCTGCCGCTGCCCCTGCGGAGCCGCAGCAGCAGGAGGCGGCGGTGGTGCCAGTGCCCGACTGCGAGTCCGAGGAGCCGAGGGGGGACAGACGGGAGGCGGCGGAGCCGCCGCTCCAGGAGGAGAAGCGGAAGGACATGGCCACGGGCAGGGGCACGGGCAAGGGCAGCGGCGCCCAGAAGAGGGGGAAGCCCAAGCGCAAGGCTTGAGCGCACGCGGTGGGCCGCCTCCGGGCGTCTGCCGCGGGCATAGGCAGAGGGTCCAGAGTCACCCCTTGAGGCCTGCCCTCCAATTGCTCTTCCCACCGCCCTTCCGAACTCTCCTCTTCGCGCAAGCGCTCAGGGCAAGGTCTGCTGCGAGGGCATCAGAGTTTGAAATTCTGCATCGGCTTTAATTTAGGAGCCTTGCGCCGAAGTGGCGCAGTTTCAGGATCTCCGGCAACCCCTCCTCGAGGCGGTATTTGCAGCGTGTTTCGAAGGAGACGCGGCCAGTGCAAAAAAAGCGGCTCATTTATGGCCACGAGTTGGCCAGGAGATCCTAAGGACCGCGCGAAAGGGTTCAACGGGGCCCGCGAAAGGGCCTCGAGAGGCAAACAATGTTGATGTTTCAAAGGACTATGGTCCCAAGAGGCTCTTAACCGGGCCCGAAGAGGCCACCATTGAAAAGCCAGAGGGAAACCATGAGTCTTTGAATATCTCGCTTTTTTTGCGCTTCCGATGGGTTTCTGAGGCTTCTGCATGGTCGTGTAACGGCCCAAGCCTGCCCCAAGAGGAGCCCCACAAAGCCACAAAACAGCACCAAAAGCGCCACAGAGTCTCCCATGACGGCCCTGGAGACCTCCCAGAGTGCCTCCACAGACGGCGTCTGACAGCGTCAGACGGGCCGAGGGCGCCCCAAAGGAGCCCCAGGGAGCCCAATGACAGTCCACCGGGGCCCCTGGGACCCTTCAAGATGGCCCCGAGACGGTCGAAGATGGCTTCAAGACGGCCCTCGATGCCGCCAGGACGGCCCACCATGGTCTCCAGACGGCCAAGGCAGCTCAATATGGCCCCCAAGAGGGTGCCAAGAGGCTCGGCCCCCAAGCCCCCAGGAAGCCCAAATCCTTCGGTTCGGCCTCTTGTGTATCCTCCTCAGGCAGAGAGGCCTCTCGAGGCCAAGAAGTATCTGCTGCACTCAAGCCGCTATAAGTACAGCGTCTTTTCCTGGTTTCAATGGTCGTCCGGAATCATACGTGTCATCAGGCAAGGGCGTTTTGAGTCCCAAAGCATTCCGTTGCATTGAAGGAGTTGTAAGTAATTACAGCAGTTTTCACCCCCCAGGTCGGATGGTCGTCTGGCCTCCTACGATTCCTGACGCAAGCGCTTCAGGGGTGCCATAACATATCGGAGCAAGCTTGCACAGGTGCGCTGAACTCTTTGTGGGGCACGATTCGCGTGAAGGGAGTACGGAATAACCTGAATGTTCCCGCGATGCCGTAGGGGGAGCTCCGTGTGGGGCACGATCCGTGTGAGACATGCGCCGAAATGGGCGGGGGAACGGCATGCGAAGTTGCCCGTTTGGCCAAAGGTAGAGTTTTTTCTGGGGCAAGATTCGCTTGAGGGGTGTGCCAGACTGGGCGGAGGGATGCTGTGCAAACCTTGTCACCGGGGCCGAAGTTGGTGCTCCTTATGGGGTACAGTCCGTGTGAGGCGCGTGCCAAAGAGGGAGGGGGGGCGTTATGCGAACCTTGTCTCTGCGGCCGTATATGAAGCTCCCTGTAAGGCACGATCTGCGAGAGGGGTGTGCCGAAGTAGGCGCGGAGGCGGGCTGCGAACTTTGTCTCTAGGGTCCAAAAAGGGCCCAAACGCTCCAAGAGAGGCCCCTCACGACCCAAATCGTCTCAAAGCGGTTGGTTATGCTTGACATGTTGGTTCTCAAGTGGCATTGACATGTTCGAGACAAAATTGCCGCGCGCGCGCGCGCTGGATGCTATAAATTTTGGGCGCGTAGTCAACTGTGCCGCTAGCATGTTGCAAATCGTATTACCGCCACCACCGTGACGGGTCGGTTAAACCGTTGTTCAACGTCCCTACGGAGATTGACACCAATTTGGAGCTAACCGAGCTAGCAGCTCGACATCGAGAACTTACCTTGCGACGTACCGAACCCATCGGCACCTAGGGATGATATAAGGCGTGCCCACAAAAGTGTGACAGCAACACTGCAAGAGACGGTACACGGTTGATATCTATGTCGCGCGAAGTGTGCGTGGCCGATTCGCAGAACAGAGGTACAAAAGATCAGGAGGCATTATGGTGGGAAGCAGAAGCAAAATGAAGACACCGGGGTGGAAGAACAATCACCGCAGCAGAAGCAGCGAGATGATGGAGCATGGGCAAGATAAGGTTACATAGGCGGAGACGCAACCAGACAATGAACTGTCGCGCATTTGCATGCCGAAATGTTCAACACATGCGCTGCCAGCGCTCCGCGCTGCTGCAGCGCATCGGAACATTAAAAGCTTCCTCCAATAGTGTAAGAAGCGGTCAAAACCTAGCATCCCCCCCCAAGGATGGCGAGGTCTTCGAGGTTCGCGTGGGACCCCACTGTGCTGCCCTTCCCAGCAGCCTTCAAAACTGGCTACAGTTTCACACTTCGCAGCCCCCCCAGGGATGGCGAGGTCTCTTGGCCCCCCCAGCACCTTCGAAAGTGGCGACAGTTTCACACTTCGCACCGCCCCCCCTCCCCCCCCCCCTTAGGATGGCGAGTCCCGTTTGGATCTGCACGTGGCCCCACCGTGTTGGCTCCCCCAGCAGCCCCAGAAAGTGGCGATAGTTTCACATTTCGCACCCCCCCACCAGGGATGGCGAGGTATGTTTGGGGTCTGCGTGGGGCCCTACTGTGCTGCCCCCTCCAGTTGCCTTCGACAGCGGGGAGAGCTTCACATTTCGCAGCCCCCTGGGATGACGAGGTCCCGTTTGGATTTTCGTGTGGCCCAATTGTGCTGCCCCGCCCAGCAGCCCTCGAAAGTGGCGACATGTTCACACTTCGCAGCCCCCACAGCGATGGCGAGGTCCCGTTTGGATGTGCGTGGCATCCCACCACTTTCGAGGGCTGCTGGGGATGCTGCCACAGTGGGGCCACATGCAGATCCAAACGGGACCTCGCCATCTTTGGGCGGCTGCAAAGTGTGAAATTGTCGCTACTTTCCGGGGCTGCTGGGGGAGCCAGCACAGTGGGGCCACACGCAGATCCAAACGGGACATCGCCGTCCTTGCGGGGTTGCGAATTGTGAAATTGTCGCCACTTCCGAGGGTAGGCGCAGCAGTCGGGTACTATCTCGATGTTGCTGCGGGCGTAGCCGTCAGTGCCGCGACGACGAACTTATCGTCGATGCTGTCGGCATGGCCGCCAGGGTAGCTTTCGAAGTCCTTGCCGACGTCGTTGATGGCGCAGCCGCGGTCGTAGCCGCCAAGGCCCTCGGCGAGGTTGTTGTCGTAGAGGCCCGCGTCGTAGGCTTGTCCTGGGAACGCCTCACCGGCTGCGGCGGCGTTACCGCACGCCCGCCTTACCGACGATGGCGACGGCATTTGGGTCGGGGCCCCATCCGCCCGACTTCCCCCACTCACGGGGTGCCCAGCCTGGCGGTGGCGGCAGCACTGTTGCACGCCTGTCCTGGCGCCAGCTGCACTCCCTGAGGCCGTGCCTGACCTCGTCGACGTCGCTGCCGCCGTGGACCTCGGCAAGGCTGCTGTGCACCTCCAGCTGCTCTTGGTGGTGCGGCGCGCGTAGATGTCCGCGATGGTGTGCGCTATGGCGCCGAACGTTCCCGTGAAGATCTCGACCGGCTGCCCCCGCTGCTCATCTGTTCGGGAGCCTTGAGACGGGGGTCAATGCAAATGGGGGTCAGCCAGAGCGCCCGATCTTGCAGGATCCTGCAGGGCCAGGGTCGCATTGACCCGGGCTTGAGCGCAGGATCCTGCAGGATTTTGCAGGATCCTTCGCGTTGACCCGGGTTTAGGTGCAGGATCTTGCAGGATTCTGCAAGGCCTGATTGACCCGGGTCTGGATTGACCCGGGTCAGCAGATCCCCGATCTGTTTGCTTGTCCTCCTGTCGGTGCACCTGATCTTCCTCCGCGATTTCATCACCACGGAGGAACCTATATGCTCTCCAGGCCTAGTTGTCTTGCTTTGCTTACTCGGAGTCGTTCCCAACCGTCTATGTCCTTTGTCTTTTGTCCTCGTCGTTCGCTTCACCGTCCTCGTCGCGGTCCCCTTCGCTCTCCTCGAGCTTCCCCGCTGTCGTTCCCGAAGGGGGGAGGGAGGACGAGGGGAGGAGGACCAGAAGGGAGGAGGGAGCGGGTTCGGCGCTGAAGTCGCCCGTACCATCTCCAGCTTCTCCAGCGCGTTGGTGAAGACCTCCGTGTCGCTGAAGCCACAGGCGCCGGTGATGCCGTAGGAGTCCGCGTTGGAGGCCCATCGTGCTCGCTTCGACTTCCCGAGGACGGGAGGGGGCAGTGCGCGCCTGCTCTGGCGCCAGCAGCACTCTCTGAGGACTTAAGAAACCCATGACTGGCCGCTCCCCTGGTGGCTCGTATCGAACCCCGGTCCCCGCGCACCCAGACGCCCCCGTCTAAGTGCCACTTTGCGGAGTCGGCGCCTTCTCGGCCCCCGTCCCCCCGCACGGCCGCGTCCAGCCAGCGGTCGGCCGCCTCTTGACCTGCACGACACGCCGGCAGCGCAACGCTCGGAGGACCTTGGCCTGGCGGTCAAACAGTGGCGCGTCGCGCACGCCAGGCAGACTTCGGCCCAGCGGCCCCGCCGACAGCGCTTTGCGGGCGCCAGGCGGGCCATCGCCAGGGCCCTCCAGAACCGGGATCTGGTGCTCGTCGATGCCATTGACCACGTTCTCCTCCGCTTCCACGTTGACCACGTCGTAAACGTGGGGCACGTACACCAGGGCCGGCTCTGGGCCGCGCCGGGCTTCACGAAGCTCAGCGCCAACCCAGCCACCAGCAGCACCCTGTAGGGCCAGGCTGCGCCGGGCTCCGCGAAGCCCAGCGCCAACCCAGCTGCTCCCCAGCCTCCAATCCAGGAGGTGTCTGAATCCTATTGGGCTCTTGGGGCGTGCCTCTCCTCGTTCCCCGGCCTGACACTACGCCGACGGCACAGTGTGCAGGCCTGGCGGAGCCAAGCCTGGGCCCTTCGGACGATAGGGCCTCACCGCTGACCTCCACGTTGACCGGCTCCGCAACCCGCACCACACGCCGTCGTAGTGCGTGTTCAAGGCGCCGTTGTACGTTTCCAGGTATGCACGCGCACCGCGTCTCTGTCTCCACCTCCGCCTCGCCGTCGTCAAAGTGGGGCCCGCCGAGATCGGGCCAGCGGGTTGTGGACCAGCTCCAGGCCGTGCCGGGCATGGTGCCCAGCGCCCCGGCAGTCAAGGCCACTTTCGGCACGTCTCCACCCGCCAGGGTTACGTCGGGCATGTCCTCTTACAGGCGGCTTTTGGAGGAAAATGAAAAATAGTCAGAATTAGCCCGACGAAGGACCC